GGGGGGGGGGAACAAAAAAAACGCAGGGGTGTAAAATTGAGTGATTTGAGCTTTTTTTCTGTTAGGCAAGCAGAATTCTTGGGAAAAAAGCTTTGGATTCCTATAGAAAGCTAAGAATTCGTGGGAGATTTCAGCGGTAAAAACTTTATTACAGGTGATGTTCTTTGGTTTTGCATTTTTATATAAATGAATATTTTCGGAATGTTTTCCAGGAATTGATGTACATGCATTGGCCGAGCCAACAAAACTTGAAGCAATGAAACGAGAATTCGAGGAACAAAAAACGAGCGCCAAAAACGAGCACCGAACAAAGTTGCTTGAGAAATATGGCGGTGAAGTGAGTGATTAACATTTAGTTCTCATGAGATTTTCGCAAAAAAAAGTCGCGCATACACGTAGGAAATGAGATTTCTTGACCAAGGGGGGGGGGACTTTTTTCGGTTTAATTTTTGGATGTTCATGCACGATGTGCCTTGTTCATGGGGAACTGAAGGTGGATTAAAAAAGAGAAGCGAAAACGCGAAATTTTTGAGCCTAAGTTTGACCTTTGGGTCACTTATTGGGCTTCCGGCAGCAAAAATTTTCACTAAATTGTTTTTCTTGGTTTTTTTTAATAATTATATTCCGTAATTTTCTAATATTTTAATGGTAAAAACTATTATTTTTTAGTCTTTTTTAGTAAATGAACTGTCTTATTAGTAAAAGTAGTATAGTATAATAAAGTAAAAATAGTGAAGTGGTAAAATATAGTGGAAAAAATAGTAAAAACAGTCAAAAAACCAATTGCCTTAAGTTATTTCTTATATTCCTGGGTTGCTAAATGATTTGTCATTATACTAAATAGCTCGAAATAATAAGAAGGAATTTATTGGAACAGTGTGTTTAAAACTTTTTTTGTGTTGTAGGAACATTTACAAACGCCAGCGAAAGAACTGTTGCTGGCTCAAACTGAGCAATATGTGGAGTATAATAGGAAGGGTAAAGTGATAAAAGGAGAAGAGCGCCCAATGATACGAAGTCGGTATGAAGAAGATAAGTAAGTTTCCTGAATTTTATAAAAAAAATAAAATTTTTGAAAACTGGATTTCTCTAAGTAAAAGGTGTTGTAATATTCCTGAGATTTTTTTGAATTTTGTAACAAA